GTACAGCTCTACCAGGTGAACTATCCGGGCGCCTCAAGCCCATTTTAAAGAGCTCAAAATCACCTCTATCATTGTCAGTTTAAGTCAAGACTACACTGCTCCCACAGCAAACTGCACTCAATTTACCCGGCCTTCTGTCTCTCCAATTTGCACAAAATGTAAATTAGCAGAGGACACTTTGGGCCACCTCTTTTGGTCTTGCCTCAAGCTAAACAAGTTCCGGTCAGATATTTTTGAGCACTTTTCTTAACTGCATAACTGTGATATCGTACCAGAACCAACATTTATTAACTCTATTCCACTTTCAACAAAAGACAATACATAGTAGACAATACATAGTATACAATACTGAGTTGGTGCGTTGAGCTGGACGGACTCACTGAAAATGACCTGTCAATCACAAGGTAGCCACGCCCTAAAGCATACCCTGCTTTATGTCTAATTGTACTCTAAATGGGACCATCATTTACTAAATGAACATCAATGCTGTATGGAAGAAGGAATTGAACTAGAGACTGAGATCAATAAACTCATTAGGAAACTGTTTACTCAGCTGATCTTTTATCCACTGCATAAGCCAGTACGTAAGAATGCAGGTTTAAAAAAACAACCAGAGCCAAAAAATATAGTTGGTTGCTGAGTCTCCTTTCTTAGGGCAATCAAATACAGATACTTTGGGACTCAAAAAATCAAATATTTTTAAGCCCTTCAACCCAAGCTTCTTTTCTGGTCTTTCTTGGCCTCTGATTGGTTGTTCCCGTTCAATTCTTGCAGATTGCCATTAGGAGCACAGACTAGGAGGAGCCAGAGGGAACCCATTTTTCACAGATTATCTGTCTCATGTTCTACTGTCAGGATATAGGTGAAATGTCAAGCAATAATGACAAAAAGTTTGTTTTATAAATAGTTACCTACTGCAGCTTTAAAACCTGAACCAAAAGAGGAAGTGCAGGGGGATCCATCCGCGACCTGAAAGAGGTGCCACCATGAATCCATCACTGCGACCAATCACAACATGGCAAAATATGCCATATACATATTTACAGCCATCATGTGCATTTCCTGTTGCATATGAGTCTGCATACGAGTGGCCGAGCTAAAAATAGCCTCAGCCCAGTGTGACTGTGTGTGTGTATTTGGGATTTGCTTGGCTTGCTCTGTGTGCGTACTACTTGTGTGCTGTATGTGCGTGTGTGTACTTTGCCGCTGTATGTTTGTTTGCTGTGTGCGCTTGTGTAACGTGAAGGCAACCCAATGTGCAGTGACATTCTGTCTCTCAACAGCCAAGAGCTTGTGAGTCAGGCGGCTTCAGCCTCAGCCTGCCCTGTGTGGCCCAAACACAACGCGGGCCCGGCTGCTCATAGGAACTGACAGCAGCACTGAGCGAGGGAGAGAGAGAGAGAGAGAGAGAGAGAGAGGAGAGAGAGCAGACAGACAGACAGACAGACAGACAGGAAGGAGAAAAAATAGACAAAATGAAGAATCTGACATGATGTCGGGCTGCCATTGAAAAAATGTAGAAAAAAGGAGAGAGAAAGTGTAACCAGAAAGGGAAACTTAGACCGTTACCTCTTGTTCACTCAGAAAATTCCTATAACAAAAATTTGAAATTCACGTTATTTTCAATTCACTATGAATTCTTAAGGACAGATTATGTAAATAGGGTAGGACTTGTCAATCAAAAGTTTTAGCAAATATGACAAAAAATAAAAATAATTGACTATGTGCTATTATTCTAAAATATGGAGTTTGGCAGCTGGAAGTCTGCAGAATGTGCTATTCTACTCCTCTGAAGAGAGACGTGATGCAAGCTTCATCATTCTCAAACACCTCTAGTAGAGTGACCAGTGCTTGGTAACAGCAAATCATTTCTAGTAGACACCTGTATACAGATATTAGACATATATTATAATTTTCTTACAAAAATACATGAAAATTAATCTGGTTAGAATAAGAGCATCAGCTGAACACCTCAGATGTCACGCATAGAATCAGTCAGTAAGAAGTGCTTATCGTCTCTGTTGGTAGAAATCTGTCTGAAAAAAAACTTCAGTTTCTTTCAGTGGAATGTGTTTCCCACTGAACCTTCACAGCCAGGACAGCCTGTGCCAAAAGTACACACACACACACACACGCACACACACACACACACACACACACACACACATCCACCGACAAAAACAGAGAGCACAGCACACTGAGAACATGCAGGGAAGAAAACAATTAAGTTCTGTATCGTCTCACATCTGACACATATTGTATGCATATTCACAGACACAGTCACAGTTACACAAATCCAAATACACACTCACACCACATACATGCCTCTCTACCTACTGATGAGGCACCCCTTTGCCCAATTCCACAGCCCCAAAATAATGACGACAACAGTTTCGGCCCGTTGGCTTGACTGGTTCTTTTGGAGCGCCTATGAGGAGTCTTTGTGTTTTCAATTCACAGATTAGAGGCACACTGAAACTGGCCAATGCCAGCATGGACACAGGCCAACTCTATTCCTACCACCAGAGATGTGCGTGTGTGTGTGTGCCTGCGTCTGTGAGTGTGTACATATGAGTGTGTGACAGACCATCAACAACAAAGCTGTCCATTGTCTTTCCTTTCACCTCAACCTGGCACTGAAACAGACACTTCCTGAAGGGAGCATACTACACAATATCTACTGTTCAAACACACATTCATGCAAACACTCAGGGGAGTATAGTTGCCAAGTTTATGTTTCCAAAAGGAGTAAATCCATCTTATCTGCTTCTCTCCATAGCAATAATTAGTTTCTGGAGGCCAGACCTCACTGATGGCTGTACAAAAGCACAACTTAAGTAGTAATTTGGGTGAAACTGGATCAAATCTTATGGAGAAAATATTGTCTGATTTTCCCTCTGACTCCCTCCAGCGGCTCTGCCTAAACGCCGCTAA